TCCGTCTCTACTTCTTACTTACGTACGTACTTACTTACTCTCTCTCTCTACTAACTTACTTGTTGTCACCACCACGTCGCTCTCTTCTACTACTTCTCTCTCTCTCTCTCTCTCTCTCTCTCTCTCTCTCAAACTTGTTCTTAGCCTCGTTTAACTCCCGCGCACTCTCTTCGTCTTAGCCTACTGTTTCCTCGATTCCAATAATCGCAGAAAAGCAGCAGAAGTCACGCCAAAGCTTTTAAAATCCCCTTCTCTCTCTCTCTGTAAAATCCCCTTCTCTCACTCCCTACTGAACTTTCTCTCTAGAACGCGCCTTTATTTCCTAGTATTTTGCAGTCTTCAAGAATCACAGGAAAGCACCTCCTCTCTCTCTCAAAATGGAGGGTCAGCTTCCTATATATCAACTGAGTTGTCAGCTTCGAGGCCATGATGATGATGTAAGTCTTTGCGATCACAGCCAATCTCTCTCTAATTTGGCTTTAATGTTAGCACACTTTTGTTTTGATCGCATGTTCAATTGGGCATTGTCGTTGTATCTTTCACTCTATCATCTTTTTAACTTGGCTTTTCTTGATGCTGGATTTTTATCTTACTCTCTGTTTGCCTCTTTCGTCACATGCATTTTCTCTCTCTCTCTCTCTCTCTCTCTCTCTCTCTTCTCCTTTCTCTATTTTTATTTTTTATTGATATATTGGCATTCCTTTTGTTTCGCACCGACTGTTTTTAACTTTTTGTCACTTTTTTGCTACCCATTGTCTTCATCTTAAATCTCAATTTGGTTGTGTGTCGAATTCTGATGAATCACCGTTTTTGTGTTTTTTGATTGATGACGAACCACTTGTTCAATCAAAGAGTGTTTAATCTATTTCTTGAATATTTTGCTAATAATTGTTTGAAATTTATTGTACGAGGTAGCAGAAGATGAGTGATCAGTCACTGCTGTTACTGATGTTTCTGTGTTTAAATTTCATTTTTGTGTACGTTTTCTCATTCAATAGTGCTTAATGGTATATATTGATACATTGGAATCTGACACTGTAATTGTGAATTTGAGAGTAATAATTGATGATTTTGTGGAATTTAAAGAGAACCTGATATCTATTGCTTTTAATCTTTGTTTAAAATTTTGGTCCATTTTAAACTTCTTTGGGCCATTTTCACATTTTCTTGCATGTGAAATGGTGGCATGGAGGAAATTGGTAATGAATCCCTTATGGTGATCATCCAACCTTTTTATTCTTTACTACCACAGTTGATCGTACTAAAGATAATTAGATAACTAGGGCTGACTCTTTGAGTTCTTCTTGGTTTGAGTTAAGTATTGGAGCTTATCATTACCCTGTAATGACATGAAAAGGAAATTGGATTGATTTTTTCTTTTCATTTGTTTCAATCAATTGTAAGTGCCAGCCTTCCATATAACGATGCAGGAGATTATTCCTGTTGATTCTTTTTTATTTCATCAAGTTTATGAGCTGGAATTTGCTTATTCTTTCTGTGTAATGGCATCAAAGATAACTTAAGTTTACTTTTTTATTTTCATTTTTAATTGATTAGGTGTTTAGTTTTTTTATAGAATGCATTGGAGATTACTCATATTGATTTTTTTTGTATTTAATCAAATGTAGGAGTTAAAAATGTCCATAGAATGAGAAATATATATTTTTTCTATGTCATATTCCAAAATTTAGAAAAGTTTTCGTGTTTGCTTGGAATGCATGAAATTACATTGGTGATCCCATACTTCCTGTTCAAGATTCTTCTGTTAATACCTACGAGTTTCATGCAGTCTACCCTCTGTATCACTGCTACTGGTTCACATGACTTCTGACACTTACTTCTGGACAGTTTGGATTTCTGTAACACTATTTTGGACAATGTCATGCACTCTTATTTTATTCTAATGTATTTGGATGATTCATGCAGTGCATGATGGTGATTCTTGACTAAGGATTCTTTGTGGGATGTGAATTTCACATTTTGGGGTTTCTTTAATTTATAATAAACTAATTAGGACATTTATTTTTTCAGTTTTGTGGAGCATACATTTGTGAATTACCTATATTGGGGTTCCTTTTATTTTCAATAAATTCTTTGTTATATTATTCATTTTCTCAGGTTCGTGGATTATGTATTTGTGGAGATACTGGAATCGCATCATCTTCAAGAGACAAAACTGTCCGCTTTTGGTCCTTAGATGATGCGCACAAGAATAAGTATGTGATTGAAAAAGTAATGGCGGGTGGTCACACTAGCTTTGTGGGCCCATTGGCTTGGTTGCCGCCTAATGAGGATTTCCCTAGAGGTAGGATTGTATCCGCAGGGATGGATACACTCGTAGTGTCATGGGATGTGAAAACTGCTCAGGTTTTACACAAAATGAAGGGTCATCAACTCCAAGTCACCGGCCTCACAATTGATGACAATGGGGATATTCTTTCATCTTCAATTGACTGGTACTGTATCTACCCTATATTTACAGCGCCTTCTTTTTTGTTCCTCTCTCATAATTCACGGGCCAACAATATTTTTTTTTTCTTTTCTGTGTTCGGTTTTATTTTCCTAGTTGCCAAAGTGAACACTAACTGAAGGAAATAACTGAGAATAAGAAATCGAGAGAAACAGGAAATCACCACTCAAATTATATCAAATAAAGAATATCCCCATATTGCCATGATGGACCCTCCCATGGAGAACCCATATAAATACATGAGTCCTTTGTTTGATATTTTAATTTAGGGAAAAGTTTATATAGAGCCGAGGCTCTAAACAATCAAATTTGAGCCTACCTAAAAAATTGCACTAGAAGAGGTTGTTTTGATGTCCAAATATCTTTGAATTGATCATCTCGACATCAAGATGCATGGACATGAGAAAAAAATGAATTGCAAGTTTTGGAAATAGTGTATTTTGTAATGCATTTTTGGGCCGTCAATTTTCAAAATTTTAAAGTTTTCATAAATATGTCGATCTATACTATTTTTGAAGCTCTAAACTTCATAAATAAATATGAAAATATATTTTAAGGCTATCACAAAGATTTCCAATATTGAAACCACATTTCTCGACACTATGCGAATGTAGGCTGTAATTTGATTGTTTAAAGCCTAGGCTCTATACAAACAGCACTCTTTAATTTATTGGTGATATACATTTAAATCACAACCTCACAGGCCCACAGTTGCAACAAGAGCCTTTTAGTTGAGATATGAGCTTGGATGCACCTTACAATTGTCCTCATCCTATTGTTTACCCACCTTACAACCGAAGTAAAGTTGACCAACTCCATAAAAACCATGAACAAGACCCATTCAAAAGGCGTCCATTTTATTTTAAAATTACCAATTCATGGGAGATTCCGGAAGTCATGCACCTTAATCAATATTTGGAGGTGTGTGTGTGCAATCGCACGCGTGTGGGTGTGCACGCGCACGCGTGTGGGGACCCAGTTTTGGTGCATCAAAGCCCTCATGAGAAGTGGTGCTGGTCCTACAATCTGTAACCTCCAAGTACATTGGACTGGCAGATTGCACCTGCAAATCGAGGCAAGAGAACTTCTGGTGCAATCTTCTCCATCCAATGTAATTGGACAACACCTATATATATATATATATATATGGTTACAAATTTTATAGTGCCCTAACTTAATTTTTGGGGATATTTACGTGATTTTTATTCACTCTTCCTTTTCTTGATTAGAGCAAAGATACACTACAATATACCTGCAACCCTCTATTCCCCACATGTACCCCATGAATTAACAAACAAAAATTATTCTCTGCAATGTAAGTGTATTCTTGGTGATAACAGGGTGAAAAGTAATTGTTACTTCAGTAAAATTTAGTCTTGCTTATACACCTCATTACCATTTCTTAAGAAGCCTTACATGAATTCTCTAATATGGGGGGGGGAGAAGAAACACAATGGGGGTGTTTTTTATCAATTGTTAGGAATCATTTCTCAGGACTGTTAAGTTATAGATTTCTTGTTTGCAGTTCTATAATACGGTGGAGAAATGGTCAGCTGCTGGAGTCCTGGGAGGCACATAAAGAGCCTGTCCAGACTGTTATAAAACTGCCCACGGGGGAGCTTGTTACAGGTGTACCTTTGCTTTTGGTTTCTAAAACCGGATATAATAGAATTGCATTGTGTTTTGCTGGCATTATTGGGATTAGTTTTACATGCGAGCTTTATCCACTCACGAGGAAAAAAATTAGTTCTGATTAGAACTTGGCATTGCATTTGATGTTTTTTTTCCAGTTGATGTGTATGAAACAGCATTCACATTAATTTTCTTTGCAGAGAAATTTTAACCATGTAAACTTTAATCTAAATGTTTGAATAACTGGGACTTTTCTTGTCCAAGCCATGGTGTGACTCAAACATTTAGATGAAAGTTTATTCTCAAACATTTTAACTATGTAAACTTGGCATTGGTGTGAGTCATGTAGTAGGTAAGAACTTTATTCAACTCATGCATGTAGTATAAAGCACATCGCACAATCTTAATTTGATCTATATTGAAATCAAAATATTGGCTTCTTGATTCTCCTCACCTAATTTTATATTTGATGAGATACTGGTACTTCACCAATGTCTCGTCTACTGCAGTAACTTTTGTTGATTTATGCATGAATGGCGAGCTAACTGATGTTTTGGATCTTTTTGTTTTATGTTAAGTGTATATGCCTTTGTCTACCTTAGTGATGCAGCACTTAGTGTGTTCATAGCCTCCAAACATATTAAATATTAACTTGGACATCGAATTAGGGCATTGATATGTTCATTGGGTTGGTGACACCCCCAGGAAACTCGATGAATAGAAACAGCCTTCCAGCGTATATCCACACACATGTAAAATATTATAGAAAAATAAAAACATTAGGGCACATTTGGTACGCGTGAAAATACTTCCGTGAAAGTATTTTCACATGACAAAGCTCCCTCATGTGATTACGTGTGAGAATGTTTCACACCAATTGATCCCAATGCGTTTTTTCACTCCAATTGGAAGCCAATTGATGTTAAAAAACTCCCACACCTAATCCGGTGAATATACTTTCACGGGAGTATTTTCATGTGGACCAAACGTGCTGTAGTGGATTCTGAAAAATGAAAGAGAAACAACATGAAAAGTATGGAGCAATTCTGCAGCGAAAAATTTGAAGGTTGATCGGTTAGCACGGTTTGAATTGATATACAGGTTTAGGCCCTTAGGATGAAGCATGGAAACCCTTTTGAAAAGCTCAAGACCTACATATGTTAATATTTTGAAGTGAAACAGAAACATGTAGTAGGTGTTTAATTATATTGAGGGATGTATTAGTCCTTGTTCAGCATATGGTATGACTGGAATACAAAACTGTAATTCACTCATGGAATTTCATTGAAGGTACCTTTATGACCTATTCTTTTGTATCTTGTTGTTGAATTTGAATCTTTTAATAGCTAGAAACAAATACATTGGATTTGCATCACATTGTTCTTATGTAGAGAAAATTTGAATAATTCAGTGGGACATTATGGTTTATCTAGTTGTTGTGAACTCTTGCTCCTTGATGTTATAATCGTTGTACTCAACCATTTATAAATTTATTCATACAATTTACTACAATTATTAATCATCTTAATCTGTTACCTTTGAGCCCATAACTGCCTCGTTCATCATATGTAGTTATCCGATGATCCATTGGTTAACTTTAGCATATTAGCTACTAGCAAGGAATTTATGCGCACTTATTACATTGTGACGTGCACATGCTTGGTGAAATGGGTGAAAATTTTCCTCATGTATTGATGAAGCTTGTTTTGTACTTTCTAGGATCTACTGATATGGCAATGAAACTTTGGAAAGGAAGAACTTGTCTGTACACTTTTGTGGGGCATACAGGTTTGTCGTAAGTTTTGTCTTTTTCTGTCTACCACACTCTAACTTGATGGGTTTCTTTACGACCAACCATAAGCTTAATCTGTTTGTATACTGTTTTCTTATTATTTTCCTGAAGGATTGCCTCGTGATAAGTATAATTACTAATTCCTCAAACATTTAGTGCCATTACTCATGCATTTGAGCTATCAACAACATGATCCAAGGCTTGATTTGCATATAGAGAGTTTTTATCTAGTTTCTAATGACATAATTTTTTTTTGTATAAGTTGAACTTATGGGGCAACATTATTTTAATGTGCCTCCCTTGATTATCTGCTCCAAACCAATTAAGTAGGCTTCTCGACAAGACCCTGAGGGAGGTCAGGTTTTTCTAGATCTAGTGCAAAACTCAGTAACAAATGTCGTGGGATTATTAGTTGTGCCAGCATGTTGTTACAAAACATTATGTTGCTCTGAAAAACTGCAGCACAATCACGTTATTTTGGAATTATCGCAGATGGCTTTGATCTGTTATTGCTACTACACGAATTCATGCTGATAATATTGGGAACTATTAAGAAATAGATAACCAGCTGAATTTATTAGTTGGAATTTGAATATTCAAATCAAGTTTCAAAAAGGAAAAAATTCAAATCTAGTTCTTACTTAGTTGAAAGGTATCTACCTAAATGTCAATTAAGCTTAATGCATATGAGTTACCTTAAAAAAGTAAAGCTATTGTGGATATCTCCTTTCCTTCCTGCTAGATGTGGTTTTAATTCACATAAAATGATATCTATGGGATTTAAATATAAAACTAAAAATATGTCTCCCATAGCTGCAGATAGTCTGGTATTTCATTGAAATTCACTAATTTTTTTCTAATTAAAAATAGTTTTGGTTATTGAAAATCCTGTTTTACTTACTAAGTTAAAACTAATTTATTCAGAATAATAAATGAATTTATACTGAACACTGGGTAAGTATCCATCAAATCGTGGTAGACAAGGGCCTAAACATAATAACCTGATAAAATTCCTCACGGGTAATATCCCGAGACTGATATTTCTTACTTAGGTGGAAAGATTAAAACCAATCAACCATTTCATTGCAGTGCCTCTTGATGTTTTTGTGGCCAGACATCTAACCATTCATTTCAATGGTTCCAGTCCAGAGTTTAGATGACAACATTTGCTATTTCTGGTTTTGTACCAACCAACCTTAGTATTTGATCACCAGTTCACCATTACTTTGAATTGTGTAGGTTGCATCTAGTTTCTTCTGTTAGTTTAAACTTTTTATAGTACTCCATGTTAATGTATTACCTTAGAAATTCTAAGCTAACCTTTATTTTCATTTTGGTAAATTGATATCTTCTGTTAAGGCTTCATGATTAGCTCTTCTAAATATTCTTCTTAATATAGTACACAATGCTTTTGCAGACACAGTGCGAAGTTTGGCAGTAATGCCCGATTTGGGGATTCTTTCCGCATCACATGATGGGTGAGCTTTTTCTGTTTGATAGGATATTAGTAGATGCCCTTTGAAAATGACCTATATGCATCCCAGCTTACGTTTCCTTATTGTTTGTTATAAGAAGTCTTGATTGTAACAATGGAATTTTTTGGAATAGGCATCATTGGACTAAGAGGGGTGAGGACCTTAAACTTTCCCTTAATCCATTCCAAGCCCTGGTATAGGAGGTGGGTTGCATTGATGCAGGCAGCTAGCATAAAACTTTGCCTCATCTTATCATGAATCCTTAACCTATGTTATTTGCTCATGCTAGGGTGTTTCCCGTAAGCAACGTGGTGCATTACCCGAGTGTAGTGAGAAATTTTTGGTCTTACTGAGGGTCTCTTGATAGAGAAGAATGGAGGAACAAAATTTATGTATGTAACTGACCCTAATTAATTGGGATAAGGCTTGGATGATGATGATGATGATGAGGCATCATTGGACCTAGAATATTTTTCGTACTTCTAAGTACTCTTTCCCTTTCTATAAACAAAATACCTCTTTACCATTCTCTTGTGACTTCAACTGGGTTTGCTCTTTTGAGAGAGGTAGTGATGAAAACCTATCCATTTCATGAAATAAACGTGCTGAAAGTTATGAAGATGTTTGCTGAATTCTGCTCATCAAGGAGGTTTTGTAAGGCTCCAAAGAGAGCTTTTATCACATTAGCCTAAAGTTGGAGTCACTGAAAATGTCAAAAACCAGCACATGCAGATGCAAGTAACCATCAACATCACATGCATCTCACCTTTTCTGTCCCATTGAGTTATAGGGAACATACCAACATCACATGTATATTTACATGTTCGACTTGTCTTTCAGATGGCTGTTCTAATTGGTTGTACTGGAAATACTTTGTTATTCCAAATATCAACTATTTCCGTTTGTCCCCTATGAAACTTGGCATGTCATGTTATAGCCATTTATCTGATATGTATCCACTCTCCACTTTCCACATGAATGACAGGCCATAATAACATACATAGGCTTGGAAATGAGGAGTTCTGTATCCTCTTAAACTTGCTGGAGGCAGTTTCATCACTTGGGTGGGACTGGCTTTTAGGAGTGGAGAGCCTTAACAGGCCTAAGGATTGATTTTGTATACAAAGAATATCGCGGGAGTGGACCCCCTTTAATACTGATTTCTTTCCTGCATGCATCTTTGATTTTCTGTACCACATGGTCTTACTTTATGTTTGCATACCAGTCAGTTTTACCCCATTGATGTCTGCATACCAGAAATTCTTACCTTTTTTTGGCACAATAATAAATGGAAGTATCCTTGTCTATGTGAACTAGAACCTACAGTTTCCTTGCAAGGGGTGATATTGGCTATTTGATGTTCTTGAAAATATAGATTTCAACAGGAATAAGTTCAATTTTCTGGTTTTTGCATGGTGCTTTAGAATCATGAGGGTATTTTGATATCATCTTGCCTTTAAATAACCTTGGGATACGTGTGTGTGTTCACAAAACTGGTATTAGTTACTTAACCTCCTTATCAACCAATTGCTTTCTAATAGTGTTCATTAAAATTGATGGGAATTTCATGGTTTCATCTACTTCTTTTTCCATGTGTATGAGGAATAAGCACACATGTATATTACCCATTGATTTTTAAACATCTTATTCACCAATAGAGATTTACTTTACTTCTGGTAAACATAATAGAAGTCATTGGAATTTCTTGCATAAGAGTCTGCATTCGGCTTTTTTTCATTGGATGTGATGGTATTTGCTCATGGTTGAATAGTTCTCATATTTTGTTGTGGCTTTGCTGACACAGGTCTGTTAGGTTGTGGTCCTTCTCTGGTGATTTGTTATTAGAGATGGTTGGGCACACTTCGATTGTCTATTCTGTGGCTGCACACTCTTCTGGGCTAATTGCGAGTGGCAGTGAAGATTGTTTTGCCAAAATATGGAAAGGTTGGTTTTAAATTCTTCATTTATCTAGATGTTTCAGATGAGTGTTTGTGCATATGGCCCCGTCTACTTCTTCTCCACCAAGTTGATGATGAAGCGCTAGGGTTCCATACATGCATATATCTTTGAGTATAGCGGACATGAACAGCCATTGACAGACCCTCAAAAAAGTTCCTCCGACCTTAATAAATTTATGAAGAGGGAATTCAATGTCTATGTCATCACTGCCTAAACCGTAGACCTCATCTCCCAGCCAAAATGCCGTAATACCTTGGCACTGAAAGGTGGTCCTATGAATGGGCTTCTATGCTTCCCTGTTTCTTCTTCAATCTTTGAGATGTAAACGTCCTGTGACCTACTTACTCCTTGATGTTTCATAACAGTAGCGTTATCATATATGCACAAGGGCTAACTGATGCCTTTCCATCCAACACCTTCTTCCTTTCACATTTTCAGTTCTTGCTACCATAATTAAGTTCTACTGGCTTATGCTCGAGTTTAGTCCTTCTTAGTTGTCTAAATTTTATGTTAATAGGGTTAATTTAAATACGACTGTTAATCTTATTTTAGACAGATGCAGTTTGTGTACGAAACATTAAAACCATGAACTTTGTTTATTCATATTGTAACAGATGGAGTTTGTATACAAAGCATTGAGCACCCTGGTTGCTTATGGGATGTTAAATTTTTGGAAAATGGAGACTTCGTGACAGCTTGTTCTGATGGTGTTGTAAGGATCTGGACAAAAGATAAGGATAAATTATGTTCTCCAGAGGATTCTAACACATACGCCGCTCAACTTTCATTACGCAGGAATCAAATGTATGATAGCATGGTTATTCCAACCCTAAACGTTCCTGGTTCATTTCAGAATATAATTATAGCTGACTAAGGTTTTGTTTGTTATTGTTTTACATTTTGTGGCTGACGCCTGTGTCATCTATCATGCTATGAACATTTTAATGACTGCCTCATTAAGTTGGTTCATCTTCTAAGCTGTGACGCTATTTGATGCTACTGGGAACTCTATAAATATCAAATTTATCTACATTGCCAGGGTTCTTTCTTGGAAAACGATGCAAGAAGATCTTGCACCATGGGTAATTAAAGGCAATGATGATTTGACAGTTTCACAGAAAAAGTTACTTGAAATCTTCATTGTTCAGACC